ATGACTCCAGTGAGGCTATCGGGTTAAACACCAAGGAAGAAAGAATCATGACAGTAATACTTGTCATTTGTGTGGAGATGTAGCAACACAAAACCCTCTCAAACATATGTTATCTTGGAGGAATCTTTCCAAGGGATAGGCTTTCTGAGAAACTTTTATGACTTTTGAATACACGATAGGCATGAACTTGACACAACCTACTTTGGCCAAGCCCTGGGCTTCAGCCTGGTCTTTTACCACCACAAATCAAACAGTCTATGAAGTGCAGTCAGACTGATATTTTCACTGGGATGACAAGGTTAGAGCACATACCAGCGTGAGAAAAAACAGGATGTAGAGCACTTTGTTTTCAGGATTTAAAATTCAAAAATATTTTTACTAAAGCCAGAGGAAAATGGCTATGTTCTACCCACATACAAAAGCCAACACAATGCCTGGGATGATTAAAATATCCAGTACATGATTTAAATGAGAGCATTGACATCCTTGTATTATACTCAAATCCCTTCTTTATCTTGGCATTGGAAAATGCAAGGAAAAGCAGAGGATATAAAGGCTTTCTACTGACACAAGAGTTGTTTTTTCCTCCTGACTTTCCACAGCATCGTGCTGCAGGGTTTCATGTTGCCCCAGCTCAGTCTTTGCATCATCCTCTCAACTTGATCTCATACCAATGTAATGCCAAATTGTCAAATTACACTGACTTTTGAGTTGGTTCGTATTTCATTAAATACTATGGTGTTGGAGAAATTGGATAAAAGGCGGCACATGTTTCCAAGGACTGAGGCACCCGTCAAGGGATACCTGTCTCTAAAGGCCTTCTCCTCAGCAGAGCACTGAACAGCACGGATAATGTTACAGGTAAAGCTGTAATCACTGAATTAACTGAAAAACAACCAAAGTGTGCACAGCATACACAGTCCAAAGGGGGCATTCACTGCTGAGAAGAGAGGATGCCTAAAGGGTCAGGAAGGAGACACTCTCTGCGACCTCCCATAGGACCACTTTCCTTTCTTCCTGGGATAGACCGTATATAAGGAACCATCAACCTGGCTGCTCTTTTAGCCCTACTGCAGTGAAGCCACTGATGGGTTTCCAGAAAGGGGGCTACAGATACAGGCATGGCGTGGTGACACGTACGGCTTGTGTCATACTCTAGGTCAATCTAGATGATCAGAATGACCTTCTGCTCTGCGATAGGCCTCTCTGATTGCAATTCTCCTGCTAGTCATAATTAAGGAAATTCTATTACACAGTTCAGATACAATTGCAGTTGTAGTACAAACCAATTCAAAATTAATCTAAATATAATGGTAAAATTTCTCCTACGTGATTGAATAATTACTGCAATACAACTCCAGTAGGGCAAAGATCAGGACCATTTCATATGAATATCATTCAGAAACCAGCATTTTAAAATTGTATTGCTCATTCGTACGACACACATCACAGAAACAGATCTACTACAAAAAGTGAATATAGAGGAATTGAGCTGAGAATCATTAAAAACATATTTTTAAAATGAAGAACCACCACATTATTACATATAATCATTTTCCTTTCACACTAATTTGTTTTAATCTATTCTTGCTCCTTATAAAATATTACACAAAATTTTAATCATAGCATTGTTTTCTTTAGATCTGTGCATTTCAGTAAATGACACTTGCATATATAAATTTAGTGAGTTAAAATGTTAGACTGATGCTAGAACTGAGCAGTCATTTATTCAGAAAAAAAATTGCCTTGTTTTCCTGTCTGTAAATTTTCTATGGCAAGCTATTATTTTTTTTCAGTGTATTCATTATTCAACATATTAGTTGAATAGTCCTACAGAGAATTCTCTGCTTTTGAATCATTCACAGCCTGTTAGTTCCAATTATTTCACATTTGCAATTTGAACCCCAGTCCTTCGTTTTTATTGGACATAGAGTTTACATGAACTGATGCTGTTCTCCAGTTCAACAAATGTGACCAGAATGCAGACGGAATAAGTTTCG